AGAGCTTTTAAAAAATGATTGTTAGAAAAATACTAAATCTACATGGGGTAAGTTATTCTAAAATTATAAGCTAAAGAAAAATACTTACTGAAACAGGTTTCATCACGGAATGCCATATGTACAGAATGTGGTAAAAATTTAGCAAGTACAGTATAAAATTGAAAGTACAGTATAACTAATTTCCTATAAGTGTAAACCAACGTAACAGGCAAACCTGTCAAGTACCTTGAAGTGAATAATAGGTATCATATTATATGTAAGTGAATCAAGGAAGTTTTAATTTATGAGAACATATTCAATAGTTGAATAAATTTAATCTTTAAAAAATTTTGAAACTGCAGGATCATTTCTAGTATTATAAGTAAGAACACCTCATATGATCCAACTTCACAGAACAAGCTATTAAAGGAATAAACTAAAAATTAATCATCTGTAAGACAATTCATGTATTTTCTGAAGAGGGAGGTCTAATGGAAAGCTCAAGTTTTAAGTATTGAATGTCATCTTTCCATTGATTCCCAAAGAAAAAGTATTACAATAAACTAGTATCAACATGTTTAAACAAAAGTAAAGTCACCTAAGTAATTATTTCTTATTCACACATTTTTGTGCACATAAATTTTTTAAAAGTTTTTGATAGCTCTTATTGAAATGCTATTTTTCTCAGTGTGTACACCTGAACTTGAACTTTCACCGAGTGTAGGATATATAACAACATTTTTTGCCAAGTGTCCTGAAAAAAAGCCAACAATCACTGACATACCATTTCCACTTACAATGCTATTTACACAAACATAGGTGGTATCTAAGTCACAATTAACAAATTACAGTTTTCAGGAAAATCTAACTAAAAAAAAGTGTCCCCAAAATACCTGTTTACAGTGGTTCTAGTAATTTTTTAGTTTACTGTCCCTCCTCAACCAGTGCTAAAAACAGCACAGCCTGAAAACAATATGATTGGATAAAAGTAGGACTAGTGTTGATACTTTATCATTTTGTATTTTTAAGCAACAACGCATATAAGATATTTATTCATATTTTAGAATTCTTCCCTTCCTCGAGAGAGTTACAGTGAAAGTTAAATTCATGTAAGGAGTCAGGAAGAATAACATTATGTAATCATTTATCATGATTTAAAATAGTTTCAAATAGTATTTTTTACTTTTTTCAGTCAGACATTACTTTTTGATATTCTTTGTTCAATGTATGATAAATGAGTACATGACAATATCAATGAACTAGTAGACCCGATTTCTCCACACCTAAATGAAGAACATCTTAAGATTCTTTTTTCAAATTAATGAGTTCTGCCAAATGGGAAAACAAAATAGTCCAGTAGGGCCTCTGTAGCTATAAAGCATATTTTAGCATAATAATTACTATGCTAAAAAAGTAAATTAATTGGTTCTTTTAGACTTTATGTGAATTGCTTAAGTAAATAAAATCTATAAAATTTAAATAAAGTTTAAGGATTGCTAACAATGTGGGTTCTTAAGTCTTATATGTCTGGTTCCTAAAATCAGTAAAATTTGAAATTCAGGATTTGCACAGAAATATATTTTCACTTTTAGGCATGACGAATTTAAATGATATATAAAAATTTATATCCCTATCCTCAAAGACAAATAAGCGGTATCGGGGGGGGGGGGAAACAAAAGAAAACACCAAAAGCAACAATTTCCTGCAGTCAATTTGTATGAGTCAAAGAGCCATTGTACTCTCATGAGTAAGAACTGAAGTCAAATGCTGTAGTCTTGAATCAATCACCTCGTCCAAAATCTCATGCTTTCCAATATGGGAAATGTATAATAAAATAATGAAATTACTCTAAATAATATTTGTTAAAGGAATAGCTTATGACTGGAAACTAAAAGCCTCTAGTCACAACATATTCCTTTAATAACTATTTTAAATAATCACTTTAAAAATTACAAATATCAATTTTAATACTGAGGTGAAATTTTTTCCAATGAAAAAGATGAACTGTTTGATGATTTACTCTGTGTAAATTATGACCTTTTAGTATGATAAAAGCCTACTAGGTTTTATTAGTCACTTTGAAAAGGTAGTATTTTACGTAGGATACTTGATATATACCAAGAAGCTCTTAGAGGATTTATTTATTTATTTTAATCCTCACCCAATAATATATATTTACTGATTTTAGAGAGAGAGGAAAAGAAAGAAAGAGAGGGACATGGGAAGAGAGAGAGAGAGAAAAACAAACATCAATCGGTTGCCTCCTCTATGCATGCTAACCAGGGATGAAACCTGCAGTCTTTTGGTGTAAGGGACAACCCTCCAACCAACTTAGGCACCTGATCAAGGCGCTCTTAAAGATTTAAATAAACTCAGCACAGTTTACTGTATTAAACACTGGATAGATATGTAATGTCTAATTCCTGATGTTACTTGAAAAACATCATCTCACATAACGCTATCTTTTTATTAAGTCCTTAGTGGCAATTAACTGTGATTTTTCGTATTTACTTAGAATGATTTCCCCTTTTAGAAGAGTAAGTACATAATCATCACTTTATACCCAAAATGATGGGAATACAGTAGTGATTCCTATGACTACTAGAACTTATATACTAGTTGGGGTAAAAAAGAGACAAGCATATAAATAAAATACATAGTATGGCACATGGCAATAAGTACTATAAAACAAAATAAAGCAGAGAAGGATGACAGAAAATAGTAAAGAGGTGAGAAGAGAGAGGTCTCAATTTTACATACAACTGTGAAGGTAATATTTGAGTAAAGACCTAAAGGGAGTGAGAAAAAGAGGTATAAGAATATATGAAGAGCATTCAAGGCAGTGCAAACAGCAAGTGCAAAGATTCTGAGGTAAAAACATGCCTATTGTTTTCATGCTGGCAAGTAGGCCAATCTGACTGAAGCCAAGTGAGCAAGGGATATAAAATAAGGAATGAGGTCAAAGAGATCATCTAGGAGCAGAGCATGTACAGAGTCTTGTAAGTCATTGTAAAGATTTTGTTTTCATTGTGGATAGAATTCAAAGTCCATGGAAGGTGTAAAGAGAGCAATGCCATGATCTGACATGCCCTTTAAAAAGATCATTCTGGCTGCTGATCTGATGACAGATTTAAAGAAGAAAGATTAAATGGCTGTTCTAATAAGTTAAGTAAGAGTTGCTGATGGCTTGGACCAGAATATTAGAAGTGGGGAATTGGTAAGGTTCTGTATATATAAAAATAAGACATCTGACATTCATTTTTGATGGATTGCATGGAATATGAAAAAAACTGAAATCAAGGATAAATATAAAAAATTAGGAGGAAGACTATTGGAGGAAGAGATTTGGTGGCAAGGGACAGAAAAAAGATGAGGACCTCAGTTTTAAATTTTAAGTTGTAAATGCCTATATATACTTCTACATAAGATTAATAATCATTAATAGGCAGTTGGACATACAAGTCAGGACTAAAAGGAAGTAGACCCAGAATGCCAAAAGATATGAATTTAGGATATCATCACTGTTATCAGTATATATAAGAATGCCCACATGGAACCTTAATATTTAAAAGACTGCACATTGAGTCTAAGATTTACAAGTAATATTTCACACCAAATTTTGTATGACACATACGAAAAGCAAGCAGTCCTTGGGATAAGTACATTTTAAATATGCTTTAAGGTTCTTTTTTTAAAAAAATAAAAACCTAGAAAGAAATGGGGACTAGTATACTAATATTTCATCTCATTTAGATTTCTACCAAAGCACTAACTGATGGAACAGATGGTTCTTGATGTACATAGCTCTAAGCTTCTTGTAAGATTCACGCAAAAAAAAAAAAAAAAAAAAAAAAGATAAGAGATAGAGATAGAGCTAGAAAGAGACCCTATTAAATGCCAGGCATTAACTAAGTCATAAATAAAGTGAACACAAATTGTTTAACTCTGAGGACAGATAAGTACATAAATAAGCATACAACTACAAATTGCGATAAATAACGTGAGGTACTTTTCTTAGGTTGAGTAATTATACAAGAACAGAGAATATAACAAAAGCAAGGTTACAATTTCTCTAAAATGTCTGATTTAATTTTAGATTTGAACAGAAATGAAAATCTTAACTACCTATTACAGAATTACCATACAAACCTGCATTTCTCAACGTTCTCTTCCTTTTGCCTTTAATTTTCCATGTGTTAGACATGAAGACTGCTGCATTCTTATAGGAGATGCTCAAAACAGTTTACATAATTCATATAAATAAGAATTCCATTGATAATTCATTTATAGCCACACCCAGGATACAATATATTTTTAGCTCTAACTATATTTGGTGAATATTCAAATTTATACTGTCAAATTAACAAAAAAGCTTTCAGAGTGAAACAAGTAGAATGTGAAAAATCTTAAGTTCTTGGTGGTTTAACAAATAACAATAAAAGACATTTTAAATTTTACTTCATTAAAACATTTTCAGTAGCATTCCTACTTCAACTTCTCAGTAATCCAATATGGTATATAATAACATATTGAGTGACAATGTTATTTAATAAGCCAGGTCATCAAAGTTGATATCCTGTTTTATTTGTCAGATGCTTATCTGCAGAAGAGCTACCAAAAATAAACAAAAGAAACCCCAGAGTTCATTCTTAGTGTCAAGACAAAAAAAAATCCTAAAAGGGTGCACACTACCTATAAAAGTAAGATATTTAATACTATTCAACAGCAAATTTAACTGTATGCAGAGGTCTTAAAATGTACATAAAGTTGTTGCATAGACATTTTGACATTAGGTAAAAGAAATGCCACTTGACACATGTAAAGCCCTATCTGTTTACACATGTACCTCTATTTCAGATAGGGTTACTTTATTATATCTTTTAGATTATTTGGAAAATCTCAGGCTAAGGAACCTATATCTTCACAAGTATAAATTACTACCATGATCACAGTGTTATTGTTATGACTGTCATTATAAGAATAATTCAAATAACCTATTTTGCAAGTAGATGGTAACTTACCTGAAATGTAGATGACCTTTTGATCACTTCTTTGACCAAGGGAATTGGTCACTTTACAGACATAAACACCAGAATAATTGAAAGTCAGTGGATGGACAAAATGAAGAGTATTGTCTGAAGCCAATAAACCATCAGGCCACTGTCCATCCAACCTAGAATTGAAAAAGCATGAAATTACTTTATATATCCTCAGTCTCTAGTCATTCATAGCTGTTTAGTTATGATATTTTGAGATGTTAGTGAAAGAACCAGCAGTGTATGGGTAAAATTCACTATGAAATGATGCATATACTAAATTGTGCATTTTTATTTTTAATAAGTTAAACTAATAAAGTCCACTACAAATTCTTTCAAACTATCAATTCATGTAAGTGTACCCAGGCCAACAAAATAAAATGAGAGGGAAGGAGAGAATAAAAAATTATGTGATTTTAAAGAATTAAATTCAGAAAACTGGAAAATTAGAAAAACATTATTTATAGAAATACTCATTTTATCAAAGGAATCAAAGTAATTATCTGGTAATTATAGACCTCATGATATAGCTATAATTCTCTAAATGAAAGTTCATCTAATCTAAGTACATGATATATTTTAGCCCTTTCTGTAACATATTTAAAAAAGCGCCAGTTAATGCAGAACAAGTCTATAGTGTGCCCCATCCAAACATGGTTAGTTTCTAAACCACCAAGAAGGGTCTTCTTATAAAATAGTTTCATTTGTAAGGTGAACATGTGATGATAAAAACCAAGATACCGTTTGGTATCAATAACTCTTTTTAAATGGTGCCTATACTAAGAAGTCCTTTCTATAGTGGTGTATTACTGAGTATTGCTGTAAAGCACAATAGGAATAAAATCTCACTATAAGAACTACAAAGCCATTCACTGCAACAAAATTAAGTATACTGCTATAGATTATCTTTCCATCCTTGTGGTACAAAAAAACCCCACCATCAGGTCTTTATTTTCAAACTAGTTTTAAAGGCCATAGATTTTTTTAGATAAGAAGATAAAAATAAAGTAAATCCAGGCACTTAATTACTATACTTTGATTTTTAAGCAGATCTTCAAAATATTTCTTCATTCTTTCAACTCAGCCATCTACTATTTACCTTACTCTCCTCCTGCTGGTGTTGCTGAGATACAAAGCTAAGTCAGATTTGATCCTTGCTTTCAATGACAGAAATACATAGTAGGAGACCAACGACTAATTACAAAGAAAATAAAAACAAAGAATAAAAAAAAGGCAGAATGAAGCGAATCAACACTGGAAAATAGGAGGGATAATTTTATTCTGTGATCCCAAGGGTAGGAGGTAGAAGAACAATCAGTAAAAACTTTTACACTTGCTGGTATTTTAATTTAGCAATGAAGAATAAAGGTAATAGTCTAATGGTTAAAAAGCCAAAAGCAGTCAACCTCCTCAAAGAATTTTGGAAACAACATTTTTAGAACATCAACTTTAAAAAGGTGAATTCTTTTTCTAAGGATAACAATAAATATAAACTGTATCTATATTTTCAACTATCTTTACTTTGGGCCCAAAATTCCAATCCCTTTAATTCTGAGCAGTATAAAACAATGTCTTACAACACTTTATAAATTGTTTATTTAAATGAACCAGCCAGAAAATTCTGTATCACATTGAACTCCCAATAAATGACATTCTAAGCACCTTCTATGCTCTTGTATCCATGATACATTATTTATATTCATTGTCTCTACCCTCATAAAAGCTCTATGAAGTATCATTCTGATTTCCTTAAAAAAGACATCTCCAATTACAGAGACTAGGGTGAGAAGCCAGAACAGTATGACTTTTAGAAATTCCAGCTGAGATGGAGGCGTAGGTAGATACACTTTGCCTCTTTTCACAACCAAAAGGACAACAACAAATTTAAAAACAAAAGTAACCAGAACTGCCAGAAGATTGAACTGTAAGAAGTCTGACAACCAAGGAGTTAAAGAAGAAACATTCATCCAGACTGGTAGGAGGAGCAGAGAAGGCAGCTGGGGTGGCGAGGACTAATGGCAAGGTGGCAGCTAGAGGACTGGGGAGCACAAGGTGGCATCTGGCAGAGCAGGCAGTCCCACATTAGTGTGAGGATAAACCAGGAAGAACAACTAGGAAGTGAGACAAACCGCGCAACCCAGGGTTCCAGTGTGGGAAACAGGGCCTCTAAACTTCTGGCGGTAAAAATCTGTAGGGGTAGCAGCGATGGGAGAAACTCCCAACTCACAGGAGAATTCCTTGGAGAGTCCCATGAGGTCCTAAAAAGTACACAAAACTGCCCACCAGGGAATCTGCACCAGAAGGGCCCAATTTGCCTGTGGGTAGCAGAAAAAGTGACTGAAAGTCCCCAGAGAGCTGAGCTAGGGACATTGTTCCCTCTTTGACCCCGCCCCCACATACAGGGCCACAATGCAGAAATGTGGGTTGCCCCTAAGGTTCAGCACCTTACTACGTAACTGGCACACAAAGGCAAAACAATATGGCCCAAATAAAAGAACAGATCAAAGCGCCAGGAAAACTACAACTAAGCAATGAAGAGATAGCCAACCTATCAGATGCACAGTTCAAAACACTCATAATCAGGATGCTCACAGAAATGGTTGAGTATGGTCTCAAAATACAGGAAAAAGTGAAGGCTATGCAAAGTAAAATAAAGAAAAATGTATAAGGAATTAGCAGTGACAGGAACGAAACTGGGACGCAAATCAATGATTTGGAGAAGGAAGAAATAAACATTCAATCAGAACAGAATAAAGTAACAAGAGTTCAAAAAAATGAAGAGAGACTTAGGAACCTATGGGACAACTTTAAACACTACAATATCCAAATGAGAGGGGTGCCAGAAGAAGACCAGCAAGAAATTGAAAACTCATTTGAAAACATAATGACGGAGAACTTCCCCAATCTGGCAAAGGAAACAGACTTCCAGGAAATCCAGGAAGCTCAGAGAATCCTAAAGAAGTTGGACCCAAGGAAGCACACACCAAGGCACATCATAATTACATCACCCAAGATGAAAGATAAGGAGAGAATATTAAAAGCAGCAAGAGAAAAGGAGACAGTTACCTACAAGAGTTTCCACAAGACTATCAGCTGTTTTCTCAAAAGGAACCCTGCAGGCAAGAAGGGGCTGGAAAGTACTCCAAGTCATGAAAAAGTCTGAATGAAAACCTTACTCTAACAGTTGAAATTTCAAACTTAAAGAGAATGAAGGATATTCAGATAAAGCTACAAAAGTAAAAACAAGCAATTATTAGCCCTCCGTGACAATAGTTCTAGACAAAAAAATAAAAAAGCAAGACTTTCAGTATACTACTTGATTCTCAATAAATAATATCTACCTTTCACAGAGAGGCAAATAATAATTACAGAATTTAATTAAAAGTAATCTCATTGGAGTTACGAAAAATAGGGTAATGGGCACATTCATGTGTGAAGGGGTAGATATAAATTTTCATCTATCATAATAAGTGACCAGTGTTAAAAATTAGTAAATCAGGAAGTAGCAGTTTCAGACCTATAATGGTTAACTGCCAGAAAGAATTGCTAAAATCACTAACGTCTCTAAGGAACAGAACTATGGGGGTAGAAGGTGGGGAGAGGTGGAACAGGTAGACACTTAGAAACTATTCATTAAATTTACTTTTCAACAATTACTATGTCAGGTATTACACTGATAAAAAACAACTTTATGCATTTAAGAATACTTTTCACTTTTAAATAAATTCTCTTTAGAAGTATCTAATATTATTTACCTGCTCCACACGGATTTGAAGGGTGGTGGATTTGCATCAGCATTACACTTGAGATTAACACCTTTTCTTCCTACAAACCAATTTCCATCGTAGCCTGTTACTGAAACCTCAGGAGCATCTATAAAATAAATGCATGACAAAACAGATTATTGTTTGCTAATGATAAATAAAATATAAGACACAGCATAAACATAAACTGTAGAAGAATACAAATAATTTTTCCTTTTCTCAATACATATAACCAATGTGGAAGATAGTATGCAATAGATATTAGTTGACCAAATGAGTGCATAAATGAACAATGAGTACTCAAACATTAAGCAACTATGAGAACATACAGTTCTATTATAAACACTGAATATAATATTCGCAAACCTACATTCACCAAAAGCAAAATTTAAGAGTTTATTATGAAATACGTGGAACTATATGAACAAAGAAAATACTCTAAATGCTTAATTTGATAATGAAACATGGCATTTAAGTACAAAAATCAACAAATAAAACTGTTTTTAATGAAAAGTTTAATTTGAAAGGCAGTATCCCCAAAGAGGTATCAAGTCAATTACAGGGATTAGATTCCCTATACCACAATCAATCTATGGGCAGGTAGCAATGTGACACAAACTTTCTATAATTATAACTTAAGTAAATTATCTAAGATCTCAACTGTTCTAAAAGATGAACTTGTATCCACTCAATGTGCCCAAAGCTCTTTTAGCATATGTGCAATATAATTAATTTAATGAGCAATTATCCAGGTCTACCAGCAATATAAATTTATGACTTCGAACTACAAAACAATACTAATCATTCACTCAACCACCATACTGTTTAGTTTCTAATAAATGACAGGCAATGTTTTAGGTATTTGGTAGACATAGACTGTATTCAAAAAATAGTATTTTAATAGTAATAAAAAAGGATGACATTTAAAAACTATTTACTAAAACCTGTTATGAAAAAAATAGGATGCCAAAAGAGAAGACAAGAGGAAAAGCCTAATTTAAATTGGGGATGAGGTTGGGAATGTCACGAAAGACTCCCTCAGTAACATTTACCATATTTGTGTGTATAATGAGCACCTATGTTTTGGCCTAACTTTCAGGAAAAATATGTCAATTTTTAATTCATTTATGTTTAGAAACAAAACTGATTATCGTATTCCAGGGTATTATTGTATATATGGATATCATTATTTGTTTCTAGAGTTATACTTTTAATGCATAAGCATAAAATAAAAGAAATACCTGACTCTTATAAATGCCAAGAATTAACAAACATTTTTGAAACAAAATTTGTACTAAAAAATGCTGCTGAATGAAGAGTATGGATATCAGTGGGTTTAATTTATTTTAAAAGGAGGATGGGAAAGGTATTAATAAAGTGTCCCCAAAGAATACCTCCAAATTTTGAGAGATAAATTTTGGATACAATTGGGATATGTTTTGTAGGTCCCAATTAAAAAAGAAGAAAAAGTCATAAGTATTCTAACAACATTTTAGAAGCACGTCGAAAAACCTCAATAATAATCACAAACTCTTATATTAGAAAAAGTATTTTTATATATTAGAATTGCATTCGAACCAACAAAAATAATATACATAATACAAGAAAATTTCAATCATGATTAAAGAAAGAAAAAAGTATATGAAAGAAAAATATTAATAGTACTTATAGTTGAGATCTGAATTTTACAAGAAAAAGGCAAAAGAGTCTATAAAATCAAGTTAGGAAAAGGAAAAATAAAATTTAACTGGCTTCTCCAGAGCAGTAAAAGAGGAAACAAGGTATTTGTTTTCAGGAATACAATAGTAATAACATTCACGGAAGATTATCTTCTCATGTTTAATCCTGTAAATATTAGGGGAAAAAATCCTCAGAATTAGCTTTAGAAACCATTATATCAAGTGTAATAAATATGTGTAATTTAAAATTCCATGCATTATACCAAAAAAAGAAAAACAGAACAGCTTCACAAACCTGTCTACACTTATGATCTGTGCAAGGACAAAAATAACAGAACCTAAACTCTCCTAATTTTACTACTAACCTGCCTAATTTTCATTTTCTTTGCTATAAACTATCTACACCATCAGTTTTTCTCCTGCCCAAATTTTAAAATGCTACACAAAGAATATAAAGAAAAGAGCATATACATACACAAATAAAATAGAGTATCCCCTAACAAAAAAAAATACATGAGCCAGCTTTGAATCTTACCTATAATGAATATTATCCCAATGATGCACTTAAAATATTGTTTTACCTATGTGAGAATCTTACAACATGATCAATAAAACTGGTTAGAATACTGAAAGAACATAGATTTTCAAAATAATTTAAATGCATTTAGAAAGTAAAAGGCTTGTTGAAAAATAAAAACATCATGAGTGGCATCAATAAAACTGAATAAAATGGATTGGAGAAGTAGTCTGTCTCTAAGTATTGCACATTTTGAGATACAAATTTCCAAAGTTCACTTAAGTCCAATTAAAAGGATAAAATTAAATAATTCTAAGTTAGAGAGTAACTTTAAAATCATTGTCCACCATTACAAATTGATAAAAATTGTTCTGGTTAAATGAAATGTCCACAGTAAAATTTTAAATATTAAAGAAAAAATGTCAACAAGGAAAAACTAAGAATTTCTGAATACTAACTATTCAGACTAAAAACAGTCTGATGCAGAATCATTTTAAAGGAAGAAAATAAAAATAAAATACATCGTGTTTAAAAAGCAAATGTTACAATTTACTTACACTGTATATCTAATATGAAAGAATATCGGATGTCCTTTTCCAAGGCTGGATGTTTTACAACACAAGTAATTCGCCTTCCTCTAGCAAATCTAGTTGGAAATAGCTTGTACTGGCTGATGATTGTGGCTGTTTCATTTGGAAAGGAAGTTGTCGTGGATTCCATTTCACCAAGATCACCTTCCCAGTTAATATGTGCAACTGGTTTTCCAGTGGCTGCAATACAAATGGCTGCTACTGTTTCATTTCCTCCATCAATTAAAGAATCTGGCCCTTTAATCAGGCTCACAGTGGGTTCAACTGTTCAAATTTAAAAGAAAATAGTTATATTTTAATTAAGAATGTATTTATATCCTTTCAAACCACATCTACACATTTTTAAAATTTAGGAATAATTGCATATAAAATCTAAACACACTTGGATAATGCCAACATCAAATGGATTCTTGGAACAATGAGCCAGGACAAATAAGAAGCCGAGATTTTATATAACCATTACAAAGGTGGCTCTCCTGTAGAGATATACTTTTCTTTATAAAAACACATGAGTCCTTCTCATAATTAGTATATACAAAAGAGTCCTGTGAAATCACTCATAATTTCCATTATGAAATTAAAGATATTTTTACTTTAAAAAGTAGTTTTAATATTTAATGCTTCATTTTTGCAGCAAAAATATTACAAGAAAATATATTTTAAAGTAAGTTACAAGTATAGAACCAACACTGCTGATATGGAACATCACTAATACTTGCTGGAAAGTACATGCCACCTATTTGTTTTTCTGGTATCAGAAAGCTCCACAGAAGGGAAATGTAATCTTAATGTTAAACACTTCCTATCTAAGGTTTTTAATTATTTTTTGTATCTCCCTTAATAACTTTTATCTGATAAACACTACTACCCAGATGATCCCTAATTTTCTCCAACTTTGAAATAAGGTTTGATTCCACAGTTTCTAACCACTTGCCTGGTATTTTATGTCTATGTATCTTCAAATTTAATAAACCAAATGCTGAACTATCATCTCATGCTACCAATCCCTAACACATTTTTCAAAGACATGCCCCTTTAAATTAATGGTAATATAAATGACTCAATCACCAAGGTTCAAGACCTGTTATTGTTCAGACCTTCCTTGTTTCTTATATTCCATCAGTTACAAAGATATGCTAGTTATTCCTTTGTAATAGCTCACTTCTTAACCCAAGCAACAGAAATTAGTGAATTAATTTCAAACCTTCATGGCCTCATGGCTAGGCGTTATGATTTCAGGACTTCTTCATCTTAACTCATCAAAAACACCAGACAGATCATCCTGAATGACAACTTTTATCACATTACTACCAAAATCAGGTCTGAGTTAGTTACCCCCCCTAAGCAAGGTGAGAAGGTTGTCAAAGTGGTATTTCTCAAACTTTATTGTGCACATAAATCACTTGGGGATCCTGATAAAATGTAGATTTTTCACCTAGTAAGTCTGAGATGGGTCTGAAATTCTGTATTTCTAACAAGTTCCCAAGTGATATTATTAATTCTGCTAGTTCATGAACCACACTTTAAAACAGCAAGAACCTGAGAGGCGAAGAGATGAGAAGCACAACATTGTACACCTTCACACTTCTAGTAACATATATCTCAAATTCCTCATCCTAACATTCAAGTTACTTTATTGTGGTCCTACTCTACCATTCTAGCCTTTAATTCTTGTACTTTTTGAAAATCCTTTGAACAATCAACAAATTATTCAGTGGTTCACTATGAGGGTTCTCAGCAGTGAGTGACCTCTTCCCATCCCCTCACCTAGAGGACACTTGGCAATGTCTAGAGATACTCTAAGTTGTCACAACTGAGGGACTGATACTAATATCTGGTGGGTAGAAGCGATGAATACTGCTATTCCACTCCACCTGTAAAAATTGAACAGGATAGTTCATCACAACAAATTCCAGTCCCAAATTTTAAAAGTGCTAACTATGAAGAAATTCTGCCCTGCTATAATTGTTTTCTGCCTCTGTTGGCTCACTTACTCTCCTTAAATTTCTTTCCTGTTTGCCTACCCCAGACCTAGCCACCATTTGAGAACTGGCAGCTATATTTTTCCCTACATTTCTAAACTACCTAATTCACCAGCCCATTGCTATACCCTACTTAAATAACATTAATATATGAGACTGCTATAAACCAGGAACTCTTAATAGGCTTTAAAGGATATAATATGTGATAAAGTACAAAGTTGCACTCCACCACATTTACAGTGGAAAAAAAACAATCTGGAATAAAACAGTATGGTAACGACTACAATAAAGACATGATCAAGATACAATGGCAAAAAAGAAAAAAAATCATCAAATTGTGGAGCAGGTAGATATTTCAAGAACAGCTTCTCGAAGGATATGGTTTGGTGAATAGTAGTTAAATATAAGAATGTAGGAAGAGAGAGGTAAGAGAAAACCAAGGCAATCCAGGCAAAAGGACAAACACATGTAAAAACACAGACAGGTGTTAACAGAACCACAAATAATTTACTATGATTATAAAATGTGGGTTCTGGAAGAGGAGAAGCAAGAAATGAGAAGGTAAAAGAAGTACGCATGGGTAAAATCAAGATTAGCCTATTATTGTAAACAGTCTTGAGTTTAAAACCATTGAGTACTGTATCAATTTAGGAGACATTCCTAAAATTTAAAGCAAAAACATTTATTCCCACAAACCCTCTCTTCCATGTACAAACTATTTATCTAGTTTCTTCTTGCCACTCAACTTTTTGTGACCTTTTTTTAATCTTGATGTCCTACACTTGGTTCTTTTTTCAAGTATTTATGCCTTGCCTGCTAACTGAAACATTTCTTAAAGGCATCAATTTCATAAACATAAGTTATATTTTCCCACAGCTCTTATGACACTCATATAAAGTCCTCAAATATTTTATTTTTTAAAGAATGTATTTATTTTATTTTTAGAAAGAAGGGAATGGAGGGAGAAAGAAAGGGATAGAAACATCAGTGTGTGGTTGCCTCTCATGCACCCCCTACTGGGGACTTGGCCCAGGACCCAGGCATGTGGCCTGTCTGGGAAGTGAACCAGCAACTCTTCAAAGTCCAGCACTCAATCCACTGAGCCACACCAGCCAAGATTTTAATTTTATTTTTATATATTATCTCAACATGAAAAAATATATAACAAATTTGTACAAAATTGCTTTCCTGAATTCAAGAGACACTAAAATTATAACATTAAATATTAGGGGCTGTGTACTTATTTGGTCTCCAAATGCAGACAATGCGACCAAGTATGTGCAAAAGGCTTATCAGGGAGTAACATCTGGGTGAAGAGTCAAGAAAAAAAGGATTGAGTAGGGAGCTATCAGCAGATCTGACAATATCCCTGACAAGTTAAGTTGTCAGATTTCCCCCATTAAAGGAGCAAAGACTTCTCCCATTAAAGGAGTCCCAATCTGAGTTGAAATATCTAAGGTGCTATTACTCCTCAACCCTTGTTCTACTACTCAAATGTACTGACAAGCATTTTGAAATCTATTTTTCACTGTAAGTAGCTTTCTTAATGCTAATATATTAGCTCATTCTAAATTCCACAATGAACTTAAAGTTATCAGACAGAAAAAAAGTAAAAGATCTTTCATTAGAAACAATAAACCAAGATTCAAATATAAAAATCCACAATAGCATAAATAAAATTTGATTTAAAAAAAGTGACATGTCAATGACTCCAAGAAGAAAGTCATTTTAAAACTGGAAAAGCTGTTTAAAGGTGGTAATTTAATTAACAGTTGGAAATTTGAGGGAAAATAATGAAAGTAAGTATGGCAAAGAAACTCAGTACTTAGTATAAATAAAAAAACACCTTTCGTGAAAAAAAGTAAAATAGCTAAGACCCACATAGCATTATATAAATAGGTAGATAGACACAGAAAAGATTTTGCTTAAATTAAGAGCCTAAAATCATAGAATTTTAAAATAGAACTTAAAAATGTATTTGAATTCTTTCATTTTAAACTGAAATTTATATATAATTTCAATCATTTTAAGGTCTTGAAAATATTTTTACTATAATCATCACAACTACCACCAAAATACATAATTCAAGCATACCTACCTAATACAGTTACAGTTGTGGAGGACTGAGCATTTCCAAGTGGGAATGTAACAGCTTTGCATATGTATTTTCCAGAATCAGAAAATCCTATGTTATGTAGAGTAATTGTTGCATCATTAAGTGAATAGTTTTTAAACAATACTCTTCCCTGATATTCTCCTTGAACAGAGAATCCATACTGAGGATGATGAACTGCAATAGTCTGTGAACTTTTGCCATGTATCTTTTCCCATGAAATTTGTGTTATGGTTTCATTTACTTCAATTAAACACTTCAATGAAACATTCTTTCCCCATACTGCTGTGACATGTGGCTCCACAACAATTGGTCCAGCTAAGGCACCTATGGAAAAAAAACAGTACAGTTCTTAAAATAGAAAAATGTTATGCTAAAATATAATCAATCTCCCTTCCCTTTTGTTTCTCTCCCTCCTTTCTTCCCCTCCTACACGTACACACTTACACAAACACATTCATAACTGAATAACAGGACTAGATGTTCCAGAGGCTGAATGTAAGACCCAAAGAGTGACTCTCAAATAAAACAAATACCCATCAATGTGTTGTATTGGGAAAAAGCACTAGATATAGCCAAGAGTAAGCTTGGAAGTGGATGCTTCCCTAGTCAGGCCTTCAGATGAGATCCCAGCCCTAGTTCACACCTTCACTGCATTCTCATGAGACTCTGAAGCAAAGAATGCAGCTGAGCCAGGCCTGGATTTCCAGCCCAATGAAACTAAGGGGGTAATAAATGTCCATTCTTCTAAAGCTAGTAAGTTTTAAAGTAACTTGTTACTCAGTAATAGATAACCAATGCATACAGGACCTGTCAAAACAAATACAATATTAAAGTATCTCACTTTGAGGGTTCCCTCTATCAAAAAATCTCTATTCCAAAAACAATTTAAAATACACAAGTTCCCAGAAAACATGAATTTAAAAACAAAAATATGATGCAAATTTGTTCAATTTCACGGATAAAGAAAAAAATGGCACAAGCAAAAGTTAAAAGAAAATGACATGGAAGTTCCCCTATAATGTTAATTATGTTCCAAAAGCAATGGACCAAATCTAAGTAAGACAGATATCATTCATGAATACTAAAGTCAAGCAAGATACTGCTCACTGACAACTATACAAAAACATAAAACATGTCTTTGGAGAGTTTATAACTCACATATGTATCTTAACAAAATAAATTATTAAACTACAAATTAAATCAATATAAGCACTCAAAGTGGGAAGTATAAATAAAGACACCTTTAAAAATTAGAGTTATATTTAAATAATATTGTAATTAGATACAAAATAAAGAAACATTAGAGTAGCACCTAAAAGATAATCAAGAGAAATGTAAAACAGCCCTGGCTGGATGGCTAAGTTGGTTGGAGAAACACACTGTACAACAGAAAAAAAAAGGTTGCGGGTTTGATTCCTGGCCAGCACACATACCTAGGTTGTAGGTTTGCAGATCAGTGTGCATATGGGAAGAAACCACTTAATGTTTCTCTCTCACAATCAATGTTTCTCTTTCTTTTACTCCCTTCCTCTTTCTCTAAAATCAGTATGTTCCCAGTTGAGGATTAAAAATAATTATTCTTAAATATGTTGAAACAGTTCTAAACGCAACAAAGTCTTTACACAATTATTATTTCCACGAACCCTTTTGAGAGAAAAATATGAATAACTGCATAAAAATATCACTGCATAAACAAGAAGATGGACTTCAGATAGATCAATAAGAGGGCAACACCTTTATGTCCTGGCTGGTGTGGCTCAGTGGACTGAATGCTAGTCTGTGAACCAAAGAGTTGCTGGTTCAATTCCCAGCGAGGGCACATGCCTGGGTTCCCAGCCAGGTTCCCAGCAGGGGTGCATGAGAGACATTGATGTTTCTCTCCCTCTGTTTCTCCTTCCGTTCTTCTCTCTAAAAAATAAATAAATACCTTCTCCTCCCTTCTCCCACTCCCCTGTTGCTAACCCTCCACATGATCTTCATTTCTATGGTTCTGCTCCTGATCTAGCTGTCCTCTTAGTTTGCTTTTGTTTTAGGTGTGGTTGTTGATAACTGTGAGTTTGCTGTCCTTTCACTGTTCATCTTTTTTATCTTCTTTTTCTTAGGTAAGTCCCTTTAACATTTCATATAATAAGGGCTTGGTGATGATGAACTCCTTGAATTTGATCTTATCTGATAGGGGGAGGGCAAGAATAGTATGGGAAATATAGAATCTAAAGAACTTGAGACACGTGGTCATAAACTAAAGGGGGGAATGGTGGGGGAGGGGTGTGTAGGGTGGAGGGGAATGAAGCAGGGAAATAGAACAACTGTAATGGCGTAATCAATAAAATATATTAAATAAATAAATAAAATAATTTTTAAAGGGGCAACCTTTATTCTCCCCAAAATGACTGAGGATACTACAAAACAAGACTAACAACTATGGAAGGTTTTTTTTTAAGCATTGCCTCACAAAAGATTCAAGCCCCCCCCCAAATGTTACATCATGCTCTTAATTACTAAGCTTTTAAAACTATCCTAAGATGTAAAAACACATATCAAGTATACTAATTTATTTTAGCAACTTATCATAAGCCTGGTATTAAACCAGAAAATATAAAGACAACAAAAAAGTAATTTAGAAATAATGATTAAAAGTTCGTATATCATGAAATAATATCCAACTCTATTTGAAGAAAAAGAAATACTGAGCAAGTAGAAAACTCCAAGAATATAAAAGTATTTTTAGGCTACTTATCAAACTGAACTCTCACACAACTTTTCTCAACGATGCTGTGAAGATACTTAATAAAATTTAACATTCATTATCTGATTTTCTTAAAAAAATCAACTGCAAAAAGATTCCTAGTAACAAAGTTGATTCTTCTCAAATGACCATCACAATAATAGAAAAAAAGAGAACATAGATATTAAAGAAAAATCAAGAAAATACAGTTTGCTATCATTATCACTGTTCAGCTGACACTGAAAACTCCAATACAAGGTCATAAGAAAAATGAACAGAAAAATAAATATCAGAAAGGAACAATCATTATTTGAAAAACTACCTGAGAAACTTAAGGTGGCCAAGTAAAGGGTATTAGAACCAATAATGTGGCATGTAAAATGTATATAAAATATAAAATCAATAAGTGACAACATTTGCAAATGTACTGCAGGAGAAATATTAATATTTGCAAAAATAATATTTAAAATATCCATGAATAAAGTTGTACAGAACTTAAAAACTGAATGACTGACTTGAATAAGTAAAAGTTACATAATTTTGTCTTGGCTAGTGTGGCTCAGTTGGTTGGGCATTGCCTGTGGGCTGAAGGGTCACAGGTTCAGTCCCAGGGCAGGATACATACCAAGGTAGGAGATTTGGTCCCCATTTGGGACACCTACAACAGGCAACCAACTGATGTTTCTCTCTCCCATCGATGTTTCTCTCCCTCTTTCTCCTTCCCTTCCCCTCTCTCTAAAATATCTATAGGCATGTCCACATGTAAGGATTAAAAAAAAAAGATATATATATTCCTGAAAAAAATACCTACTACTATATAAATGTCAAATCTCCCCATTTTAACACACAAATTGAATGCAATTGCAGTGAAAACCCTGATTATACTTCTTGAAACAAGGCTAAATATAATAGCTAAGAAATATCTCAAAAAAACAAAAGCCCAGGTGGAAAGAAGAAAATATTAAATTTAAAAAATAAAAAGCTTACTCTTAATATCTTAAAACAATTGAAAGTATACAACCAGACCAACATATAGAATGGCATATGGTATATAAATAATAATTACTTTGTATGAATGGAGAAATAATAAATTAGGTCAGTTAAAAGCACAAGAGCTAAATATTTAAAAACAGATCCCTTCTATTAAGCCACGCAAATGCGCAGACACACAGCTGAACTTAAGATTTAAAAGTAAAAAATTAGCCACATATGTGTGTACACACTGTGAGAGCTTGATATAAACATACTAATCAGGTGGCAATTACAGAATAGGCTATACTAACAAACTCTAGAAGATTCATGTATGAAAAATGTCCTTTACATACATTTTATAGGCATCAGCAGTTGCCATTCTTGCTTGTAAAGAAAGAGCCATGACCATGACTCCCAGTGATGCAGATGGCCCAACTGCAGGGGCTTGGCTAGCACTGACCAGCTCCACAAGGCTGACATTAAAGATCCATATTGGAACTAGCAAGGACACTGCCTTCACATCCACAGCCTCTTCCCCTAATCTCTTTGTTCTTGCCCCTCTTGATCTTTATAAAAACCCCTGCCTGCACTGAGATGTTGAGATGGGTGTTGAGACAAGAGTTCCTCATCTTTCAGGTTGCAGGCACATGAATAAAACCACTTTCTTTTACGTTAAGGGCTCTTCAACCTGTGCCCCAGGGGCTGTATGGGGCTCAGGATGGCTGTGAATGCAGCCCAACACAAAATTGCAAATTTACTTAAAACATTATGAGACTTTTCTGCGATTACGTGTCACAATGTATGTAATGTGTGACACTAGAGAAAGAGAGAGAAAGAACTCTTCTTCCAGTTTGGCCCAGAGACGCCAAAAAGTTGGCTACATCATCAACACCTGACTCTCTAGCATTGGCTTTTGAAGTGGCAGGCAGCTCAAACTGTGTTCAATTAGTTTTTAGCAATCCAGATGGGACAAAGTGGACTCAGCTAAGGCAGAGTGCACAAGATGACCCCATGGCAAGGACTGCAGAAATTTCCCAGAAGCTGCAGAGAGTTCTTTATCTAGGGACTCTCCATGCTCTTCCTCTCAAGGTATCAGTCACCTTTTAATGCTTTGCTGGTGAAAGGGAACAGCTTATTAACGAGCTGATGAGCCCCAAATGGGTAAAGTCCTAGATGTGCACAGCCAGGAGTGCTCACAACCCATCTTTGAACTGTCTGGGATTACATATGAATCAACAGGTGCTGCATGACAGTAAGCACAGCTCAATGACTAAGAAAAATCCCAGTTTCTGGGTATGGGATTCAGAACACATGTATTGTGTTCTAGTTTATGGATTTCTGGGTTTTGAATATTCTATTTGAAAGCTCCCATCTGTCTGTTCTGTTTGGGAACTAACTCTGTGAGAGCTCTCGTCTACCTAAAGTGAAACTTTGGTTATGGTTGTTCTTAGCTGGCTTTCTTATCTTTTAAGGAGTTGTTTGTTCGCACAGGGAAATTAATCCTCTGTCTTTGTCATCTGGGCACTGTGTCATTTAAAACTTGTGAAGGTCATTTGCACTAATGTCCCAGTCCCTCTTTTTAGATCAATTTAGTTGGAGAGTACTCATTTGTTGGAGGTTTATCTTT